TGCTCTTTTAGGTAATAGTTAATTTGGTAAGATTTCTGAAAATATATCTTGAAATTTTCTTTTAATCTCTAATACTTTTGGTAAAAATGGCTTTTCTTTTATTTCTTCTTTGTCTTCAGATTGTTAAGATATATGATGAAGAATTCTATATCTACTAGTAGATTTATAATTTGTTATCTTGAAATATATATTAAATTATAGTTTAAGCCTGACTTAACTTCATTATTAGCTTGTACTTTTATTGTCTTGGATCTATAGATAAAGATTATGATATTATTTTTCCAGTCTATGGTTAGGTTGGTGTGAAATAATCAAGATTTACCTAGAATGAGATCATATTTTTGCAATTTTAATACTTGTACATCCATTTTATGTATTCTATAAGTATCTAATTTAAGCTTATCAATCTTTACCATAATAATAACTATTATCTTCTTGTCATCTGCGAGTTCAACTGTGACTAATGTAGTCTTTTGTAACTTAACTTTATTCTTTTGTATAAACTTTTCATTAACAAAGTTTCTTGATATATCACTATCTAGTAAAATCCATGCTGATTTGTCATTTACTTGGCCATTAAATTTTAGTAATCTTTCTCTGTTGTCTTCAAGATGAGTTAACTTAAATTCTTAAATAAAACTATCATTTTTGTAATTAAAAAATATAAATCAAATTATTAAATTTTTATTAATATTTTAAAAGAATTTAATAATATATAAAAGAATTTTTTTGAATTAACTAATTTTATAATTTTATTTATATTAATTATTATTTTTTATATAATTAAAATAATACTAAAAATTCTACTATTATTATTAAAATTATTAGTAAAAAAAGTTTAATAAAAAAATTTTATAATAAAATATATTATAATATAAACTAAATAAAGAGTTATTAAATTATGTATCTTTTTTAATATTTATATTATTAAATAAAATTTCTTTATATTTTGAAAATTATCAAAATTATTAAATATGACTAAGCTATTTATATTATAATAATAACTTTTTTGAATTATTATTTCTTAAATTTTATTATATAAATTTGATAATAAATAATTTAATTACTAAACTTTTAAATTTTAATTTCTTTATAACTTAATTTTTATGAAAATTTAAAATATATATTTATTAAATCTAAAATAACTAACTTACTTTTATAAATTAAAGTTTTAATATTATAAATTAATAATAAAATTTTTTTAAAAAGTATTACTTTATTTATTATTGAATTAAAGTATAATAAAAATAATAAAAAATAATATAAAAAGTTAATCTAAATTATTCTTTATTTAATATAAAAAAAGATTAAAATTTGAATGACTTTATTAAAGTAATTATTTTCTTTTGAGATATAGATATTTTTGCACCAGCCCATACAATAGAAAATAATAAATTTTATTATATACATATATTAAAAAAATAATTGAAATCCAAATTTAAAATTTAATATTTAATATTTCAACAGCTGGCTTATTAAATTATACTAAATTTTTGTTATTAGTATAAAATACTTAATTTTAATATAGTATTTTTGATTTTAAAAAGGTTTAAACCAAAAAAATTTTGTCCCTATTGTACTTGATATGAAAAATATATCGAAAAATTCTGAGAATATTTATTAAAATCTTGTACAAATCAATGGTCTTATTGGTGTTAGAGAAATGATTAATGTTAGCTAAAGCAATCGCTTGAATCAATCCAGCACTATCGATATTTATTATTACTCTTCAATCAAACTTTGGCATTTTGAACAATTCCTCCGGATCTTTTCCATACTTTTCGATATACTTTTCATGTTCCCTAATTTGATGCATGTACCCCGAAATTAACTCGTGTGCTCGAATGGCCAAGAGTGAATGATGCCCAGTATGTACGGCACCTCGGATCGCTGCTATTGCCACGTCGAAACGACTTGTGCCATTTGCCGTTAGCATCTTTAACAATGTTTGTTAAAGCGCATTAGTTAGTAAATTTTAGTTTATATATAATGCAAGAATTGTAATAAAAAAATTTGAGTCACCTTAAACGGAGTTGTTGTCGTTCCTTCTTCTTCGTATCCAAACTTAAAGAGAAAAAAGTTTAATAGAATATTCACGAATTCTGACAGATAAAAGAAATAAATACATTACCACGGTAAATCTATCAGTATGCGGGCGATCAAATATCAAGGATTTAATAACACTCGGATATCCATGAAAATTAAAGACGACCGGTTTATCATTCGTAAATAAGCTTTCAAAGGTGCTATGATCTAGTGCATGCGGATGAGTTCCTTCGTGGGGCAAAATCATCAAATCAGTAACATTTACAACGCGAACACGCAATTCTGGCGCATCCTTTCTTAATAAATGCGCCGCTGCAATCACTTCAAATGTTACTTCAACGCCGCACCCAACAAGAACGACGTCGGGATCTATTCCGGAATCGGTGGACGCGAATTGCCAGATTGATGCCCCAGCGATGCAATGAATTTCTGCTTCTTCGGGTGAGAGCCAAACTGGTGTTGGTTGCTTACTGCCAATCATGAGGTTGATGTAATTTTTTGCACGTAGACAATGAGCAAGGGTGCTTAAGAAACAGTTTGCATCTGGTGGAAGATAGACTCGGACTAAATATGCTATGAAATAAAATAAATATAGTAAATTAATGTTATTTTATGATCACTCGATTGCTCCTTTCATAAATGACAAAAAACAAAACCTTTCATATTAATAAGATTATTGAGAAATCCGGGATTTTGGTGTGAGAATCCATTATGCTCCTGTCGCCATAACGTGCTGGTCTCTATATAATTTATAGAACCATGCGGTTGTCGCCATGTGGTTGCCACTCCCATTTTCACAAATTTTGCGTATTGGATCATCATCGTTGCTTTTTAAAAATTGAAGTGTAAGATTTTCTCCATTTCTATTCGTACATTCAGTATCTACTTACTTATAATTCCTAGAAAAGTCTCGTAGGATGGGAACAACGAGACCCTTCCTTTTTATGTAAATTTAATTATTTAAGTGAAAATTTCTAGAAAGTCAAAATATTGAAATTCTAAAATAATATTACCTGTTAACGTATATCCTTGCATCCAGCCTTGACAGGTGTGTTCAGAAAGAATTTCAAGCACACGACCACCTTTATTCGCAGTTCTCGATGACCATTGGTAATTACGATTTGTCACTTCGAAAACGTGGTCTAGTTTGTTTGAAACTAATTCTAATAATTTTCATGGAAAAAGATAATAATCATTAAAAACATGAAAAAACTAAATATGGCATCGATTTTTAATTCATGGTTCATACCATCCGGCGAAAAAATTCGGAATCTTTTAAAATTTCTGCAATGAAAAAAGAACACCACATCTTAAATGTCAAAAAACGAGAATTCTTACGATAAAAATAACTTTATTTTTTACATACGCTTCTATTACTTTAGCCGCATAATCTCCAATCTTTGACATCTAAGATATAGTTATAATAAATCCGGGTTATATAAGTTTAAGCATAATTGCTCGCTATTTCAAAAAAAATTTATATACTATGCACATACCGAACTAACAATTTCCCCCTTTTGCAACATAAACTCTCTAGGATCAGGCAACTCTAACGGCTTATAAGCTGCATACGTTTCTTTCCTGCTTCCCATTCGAAGTTTTTCATTTGGAATAACGTCCAGCACACGTTGATCGATTATTTCCGCCTTCGCAATAGAAGCGCCATTCTTCACTTTTTCGACATCAATCAGTTCATGAATTCGATAACTTTTCAGCCACGAATCTAGTAGTTGGAATTCCTCGTCGTCTGTTCTGGCATGTGGAAGTGGAACTTGGTGAGCTCGAAATGATCCCTCGATCGGTTGACCATGTAGTGTTTTTGGACCGGTCCAGCCCTTTGGTGTTCTAAGAATTAGCATTGGCCATCTTGGCTTGAAAATTGGTTTAAGGTCGGAGGATCGCGCGTGTTTTTGGATGTTGCGAATTTCTTGATATGCCCATTCCATTGATGCAGCAAGATCTTTGTCGATGTTTTCGAGGTCAGATACTATTCGTACTTTATATCCAAATCCACTACAAACATGAAATTTTGTAAATGAATCATAAAGAAGATTTATGCAAGAAAAAAAAAAGCGAGGGAACATACGTGAATAATGCGCCAAGCTCATTATCACTAATTTTGAAATTCATTACAATTAGTTTACGAATTAGTTCATCGATTTTTTCATACATAAGATATTCTATCCGCTTACTCCATTGTACCATAAATGGTTTCTTCAGAAATTTTGAAGCCGTTATCGTGAAGAATAGGTAAAACAGCACCACTTTCCGCTGGATCAATAAATTTATATGAGTGCCAAGCAGTAGCAGTTGGACCAGTCTCAGCTTCACCATCTAAATGATTTATATAAAGATAGCTATTAACTCATGATCAAAGTTGAATTGAAATTATTTAATATGCTAAATTAAATCACCTCCAACTACACAAGTAACAATCAGATCAGGATTGTCCATAACCGCGCCAAAACTAACTGACAGCGCGTAACCTAATTCACCACCTTCATGAATCTGCCCAGGAACTTCAGAATTCACATGACTCGGAAAACCACCCGGCCAACTGAAAAATTTAACCAATTTAGTGATGCCTTGCATATTTAGTCCATAATCCGGGTAAAATTTCTCTAAAGATCCCTCCAGGAATAGATTTGCTAGGATTGCAGGTGCGCCGTGACCTGGTCCAGTCACAAGAAACATCGGAGTAGCGTGTTTTTTGATCAAATAATTGCAATGAGCATATATCAAATTCAATCCTGGGCAAGTTCCTATTATTATTTAGCATAATTATTATTTATCACGAATACCATTACTATGATTGACGGATCATGATAGGATTAAGTTTACCCCAATGACCCAACAATCGTTCTTTGATATGATCTTTAGTTAATGGTTCGAGCAACAGCGCATTATCCTGCAAGAAAATCATCGCAGCTGCTAAATAATTAGTAACGCGTTGTAATAAATGAACAGATTTTAGATTTTCTTCTTCATCAGGTTTCATGTAATGAGCGTAATCTAATTTTATTAGGAGATTTTCTCTTGAATATGAAGTTGTTTCTTCTTGATAATTAGATGTCGGAGACATTATGTTTCTCGCGTATATTAAATTTTATTATTTAGACTTAGAATTCTAATATACATTCTTATTTATACTTTCATTTTTAACCATAAATCTAAACTTTTATGCTTTTTACGAGATGATGAAAGGATGACATATTGTAAGAATTTTCTCACGGCACATAAAAAATGCAAATTTTTTGCGATAGTTTCTGTATTTCCCGGAGTTAGTAGTTTCCCACAAACAGTAATTTCATAACTGTTTTACTAATACAATTTTAGTAAACTCCAGCTGAATCCCTCAACATTAAAATGAAATAATTGAGAATAGTATTATTTGGTTAAACACAAAAGCTATTGTATTATAAATAATATGTAAATATTTACTTGTGCAAAACCCATTCAATCAACTCAATCCATCAGGAATTAAAAATCGAAAATTATTAGACAAAACAATCCAATTGGATCAGTTCTAAGCTAATACACAGTGACTCTCGATATAACGGATAGAGGTACAAAACAGCCATAATAAAATCTCGCTCAATATTACGGATTTTTGAACATTTTTCTCTAATTACCCGAACCCATCCGTTATATCGAGAGTTGCTGTGTATGGAGAGGAGATACCGGATCAAATAAAAAACTCAATATCAAAAAAATTTGTTCACATATAAAAAAGAAGTTGAAGCGTATGTACATAAGTTATCGAAGAAACGAATAAATGAAACTTCGAGGTCATTATATAATAATTAAAACTTTTATTTGGGAGCGTATAATTACGATTAAATGTTAAAATCTAACTTGTTTACTTCAGCAATGAAAAAATAAAATAATTCCGGTTTGAATAAATAATTAATAACAATATTCTTATGAACTAAATTAGACTATTAAATTTTACAAGATTACTATTATTAGTCAGAATCTTCATTATCGTCATCATTGTCCTTATATTTCAAAGAGTCGTTAGTAGATATTCGATCCTCTAAATTATTTTTTGTTGAGGAAAGGTCTGGTGAAATATCTGATGTTGTGAATGCCTCCTTTCTTTTTTTGTAAATCAAATAATAAAATGATGAGTTAGTTGCAAGATTTCGCATATATATATGTGTGTGTGTGTATTTATATATAAGTTATTATTTTTTCTCACCTTATCAAAATTTGTTCCACGACGTTCGAATCAAAATCTGACTCATCAAATTCATCCGTTATTTTTACGAGATTAGCAATCAATTTACCATTCTTGTAGACTAAGATAGCAGGTAATCCAGCTGGATCAAATTCTAATTCGCGCGCTAGAATACGAAGAAATTTCACGCATGCATATTTCCGTGCTAGATGTGCTAAACATTCGTTTAATCGTATGCATTCTACGATAGACTTATTATATAAAAGGGAAAGATTCCGTTACTCAAATTATAAACAAAAAATAAAAAAGATCACAAAATCATTTACTGTTGAGGTTCTTATATTAATTAACTTTGATCATAACATAATATTTTATATAATAATACCTCCTCCAATTATTTTTGCGTTTGCCTCATCGGCTGAAACTCACATTTTCGTATAAATGTAACACAACCGATACATTCGCTGCCTCATTATCAATAGCGCTAACATATTGATCGGCCGAAATCTCTTTCAAGAATCCAAACTTTGGTCTCGACTTGTAATATTCATAGTTTTTTATTTCTTTTATTCGTTGTTCTCGATATCTACGAATAACTTCTTGTTCGTCTTCGTCGGAACTAACATTCTCTAGCGCTTGCAGTAATGCTTCCTCTTGTTTGTTCGTTTCTTGGTCTTCTCGAAAAGTCGTAGTTGTTATTGCTTTTGAAAGCACACGTTCATTGTACGATTTTATAAATGCTGCTTTACGCTCCTTCGATATTTGTTCATGGAAGGCGTGATCTGCCAATACTCCTTTTGGCCCTGTTTGTCGACCACCATGACTTATTGGTGCTGGTGTATTATTTATTTCCTATTGGTAATGTTGAATTAGAATCTAAAGTAAAAGCTTTATGGTTAAGAGCAGAGCTTACTTTGTTAGTTAAATTTTCTCCCTCGGAAACATCTGAATCATCGGGAGTTCGGGCAGGTTCAGCTGTGTCATCTAGTGAATTTTGCCCGAACAAAGCATCCATAATAATAAATATAACAGTAACGATAAGGTTTATGGCACATGTATTGAATGAGCATCAGTAAGATCTGTTCATTGGCCGATAGATTTTTGGATCACTGCGAAATATAATTGAATTTCGATGCATTACATCACGTTACATAACATCAATCTCTCAAAATGTTAATCTGTCTTTTTGGGAACATAGCGTTTATGGAAATAAGAACTGCTTTCTTGGAGAAATTTAAGCGTGGCGACACCAAACACATTCTTATTATTTTTGAACAAATTAAACAGGCGTCGAAATTTCTTTCAAATGATAAATTAATTATTCATGACGCTCCAAAAATCGCGGATGACAGATTAGCATTTCCTCAGCAGAAATTCAAAAGGCTCAATAGTTTAAGTTTTTTCTTAAATATATCTGTGGTAATAATGTCTCATTACAATTATAAGTAACAACCCCAATTATCTATATCCGCCAACATATCGTAAATATACAATGTACCCTTCAAGCACTTTCAAACGCTCATTCTTTTGTTTTGAAAACTTAATAGTCGACATCGAAGATATGCATAACGCAATTTCATGGTTATGATGACGTTTTATGTCAAAAATCTGCAAATAAAACAAGCAATAATTCTTGAATACATTAAATGGCTTGATTTTCAATTTTTTTTTTGTTACGTTAATATCAACAGGATCGAATGACCGATTTGCGTAACGTTATCGTGACGTAAAGAAAAGATTGTAACTTGATGTACCTTCTATATCTAGTTTGTTTTTTATCATGTGATGACTAAACACTCGAAATTATACACACATATACACACGCACAGAGACTTTCTCTACCATACTTGATTCAGACAGTTATGATTTCTTCAAAAATGGGCATACGCAGTCCTTCCGAAGGACACGTCTGTTCTCATGTAAATGGTTCCGTGTCCCCTAGTGGGCCGTCCCCGTCCACCTCACCAACTTATCAAATGCCAAACGGTCCTTTCCCCGTCAATGAACGTGAACGTCGTTCACGTTCATCCTCAGAATCAAGCGTGCATTCTTATACTAATTATAATTATTATTCTCAGGCCGCAACTTCCTTCAATGATGGACAAACAGAACAAGACTATGTTTCTAGCAGCAACAACAGCTGCTACAACTACAACTGTAACGAACACGATAATTTGAACGAGCACACAAAGAGTCGTCCACCACCACCACCACTCAAAATAACAACAAACGTGGGAATTCCGGGTAGTGGTTTAACTCGTAGAGCTCATATGAACGCGCATAAACATGATAGAAAATTTAGAGAAAGGACGAACCGTGTTTCATTTCATGAGAAGGTTTAATCTAATTATATTATCGAAATATTCTTTCTTACATGTTGTTTGATATTCGCTGTTTTGCTTTGAATTAATATAATTTTTGCTCTACTGATTTCATAGGAATCTTCCTCACAATCAGCTGGGAGCCCACCAAACGAATATGTGCATAGTCCTTCCTCGACTACACCCATGAACTCGGGGACATCTTCGCCAACTCAAACATCATCTTCAGATTTTTCACAAAAGTCCAGCACATTGACACCTAATTCACCTAAAACATCAAACATTATTCCAAATATTCCAAAATCATCTATAATAATAAACCCTAGAAATTCCTCCCTAAATTATCAACATCAACATCCATCCAGTAGCAATAATAGCAGCATGAGTAGTCTTAATAGTAATAGCAGCAATAGTTCTTTTGTGTCGAACCAAATGCATTCCCCCCTAAGTTATCAAAGTCAATCCAGTAGCACTAGCAACAATAGTTCTATTGTATCAAACCAAATGCAGCAACAGCAACAGCAACAACAACAACAACAACCACCGCCACCCCCGCCGCCGCCACCACCACCAAAACAGCAACAGCAGAATAATAAAGCAGAAGACAAACTATCGAGCACTCGCCCTACAGTTCGAAAAGAATTGCTACAAACAGCGCACAGTTATCCGGTAACTTCCTATTGCAAGATGCCACGCCTTGCTATGTAATATCTCGAGAATTTTTTCCCTCGAATTACACGTGTTATTAATATGCTTCATTTCTCCTGATTTTTTTACCTTCTAGTCAATCTCAAAATTCTTTTACGATACAGAAAGGAAATTCTTTGACGATACAGAAAGGAATTTGCAGGCAACTCTTAATCACACGAATTTCTGTGTAATCGATGTAACTGGGATTATTGATCCTGCCGAAATAAAACGTAAAATTTTTGATGCCTTAGAAATTAAGGATGATAGGAAAAATTATAACATTCATTTAACGGAAATTGGTCAAAAGGAAGATGGCATGTATTTTTGGACAACAAATGAGAAAAATGCATTCAGTTAATTAATCTTCTAACACCTTTGTGTAATTTTTTATAAAGGTCCTTTAATAGACGATAAACAGTTAGTTGAAAAATGTAAACATGCTGATAGAATTGCCTCGCTTAAACTCTTTGTAAAGCGAAAGGATTTTCCTGATACTATACATTTTCATACTGCGATCGAGAAAAATCCCGTGATAACTCGTCTACCAGTTTCTGCTACGAGTATTGAGGTATCAGTTCACAATACTACTGGATTTTGTGGTGGATTTGATCCAACTTTGGGCCCAGAGTTACAAAAATCGCCCAGTCAGTATTTTACTGCTGAACCTATGACTATGCCTCAGCCTGTTATTTACCAGCAGCAACAACCAACACATAGCCCTTTCTCTCATCAAACTTATAGTGAAAACATTGATCGACAACCACCACAACAAACTCTGAGACATTCACCAAATAAACTTCAGCATCCACCTAATTTAACACCGGGAGGTCTACAGGGGAATCAACCATCACAAGTAAATAGCATCGCAAAAATAATAGCTCAACAAACATCTCCATTATCATCAATAGGGATTCATCCGTATGCTTCACCAGTTTTACCTCCTATATCTGAACAGAGTAATAATGTCCCTCAATTGAAAAAGTGTCAAAGTGTTGAGAATATTGCTCAAAAGAATGATAAAAATTTTACGCGAATTCAAAATGACTTTCCGTCTCAATATAATAGTGTAGAAAACTTTGATCAACCACCTCAAATAATTTCTCAAGTATCAAGGACACCTCCCCAAAATATATTAGATACAAGAAACTTTATTAATAATGCTGCAGATCCACAACGTGAGCATACAATCTATAATGAGGGGATTCATTCAAATTTAACGGCGACTTCTCTTAATCAGTCCTTTTCCGCAAATAATACAACGATGGTGAAGCCGACAGAAGAAGACGACGAGCCTCAGCTTTGGCCTATAATAGAGATTAAGGAGGAAGATAAAGTAGGCGAATTATGGATTAAAAAACCAATCAAATCAAACTCGAATAATACTACTTTGGTATCAAGTTTGGATGATATACAAAATACATTAGATACAAGAAATAACGGTGAAGCACTCGACCATACATTCAATAATGTGAACATTAATGTGAACCTAGTAGATAATTCAATAGTAAAATCAACAGAAGAAGAAGAGCCTCCTCTTTGGGATATAATAGATCCTGCTTTAATTAAGGATGAAGATAAAGTAGGCGAATTATGGATTAAAAAACCCATTAGCAGATCAAGCTCGAACAATAATACTTTAATATCAAATTCGGAAGGTACTAGTTTAATATCAAGCCTTAGTGGTGAAGGTGAAGGTCTTTCGGATGCACCTCTAAAAAATTCTCAAAATGTTAATCAAGAAGAAACACCAAAGGACAATTTGAACTCTTTTAAAAACAATAACAATTCTTCTGTGAGATTTGATATTCCGTCAAGTCCTCTTCCAGATCAGCGCACTAATCTCGGTCTTGTACGATCTGTATCCCGTAGAAGAGGAGTCAAAGATTCTTGGGTTGTGAGACCTACAGTTGTGGATGTATATGAGGATTTAGATGTATATTTTCCTGGTCATGATCTTGACAAAGAGATTGACGGAACAGACAACGGCATGATCAATAATTCAAACAATGATGGAGAAATTTCGCCATCTATTGCTGCTCCTATTACTCCAACTGGGAAAAGAAAATTAACCCGCGGGAAATCGATTCGTCATGTCGCGGAGCAAATTGTAAATCGTGAACGTCAGCAATGGGCAATTATTACGACAGCAGTACTAGCAGAGACTAAGTTAAAGAGAAAAGTTACAAAAATATGGGGAAATCGTACAGAACAAGTTAAACCAGGACAATCTTGGTCTTCTCAACAAGGACACTCAGTTGATGATAATAAAAATCTAGAAGAGAAGACATGTGAGTTATAATAAATGGCATTCGCTTCCTATGAGATTTATATTTATTTATTGGTTATTTCGTAGTACCTAAAATCCAATGGGTGAAAGGTGAATTAATCGGAAAAGGCACTTTCGGAAAAGTATATCTTGCTTTAAACATATCAAACAAAGAAATGATAGCAGTCAAGCAAGTGGAACGACCAACTACTGCATCTGATATGCTGAGTGAAAGACAACTTAGTTTGGTAGTTCATAATTTCAATATATACACGTGCATTCAATATAACATTAATAGATATTAAGGTGCTTGCTTAATATTTATTAACAGGTTCAATCGTTTTATGCTGAAATGAATCTTTTGAAAGTTTTGGAGCACGAGCATATTGTCCAATATTTAGGTAATTTTTTTTTGTTAAATTTTGTTGCCTTCTTTATATTTACATATTACTGTGTACTTATTTGAATCTATTTCTGTATGTATTTATTTATTTATTAAGGTTATGAAGAAACCCCAGAGGCTTTAAATATTTTCCTTGAATATGTGAACGGTGGATCTATAGGAACATGCCTAAAAATACACGGCAGATTCAAAGAACCTGTAGTGCGATCTTTTACTCGGCAGATACTTCTTGGGCTCGAATATTTGCATGGAACAAATATTATTCATCGGGTTCGCATAATATCCATTTGTATTTATTGTATTATTTATCGTTTATTATTAATATGTAATAATATTAATGCTAATAATAAATAGGACATTAAATCTGATAATATTCTTGTGACTGAAGACGGGTGCTGCAAAATTTCGGACTTTGGTATATCAAAGAAAGGCAGTACGTATTTATTTTTTGGAAACATTTGAGAGTCCACGATTTTTTTTTAATTTTAACATTCTTAATGTTTTATTATCTTACCTTAATAATGTTAGCTCATGCTGTTTACGATAATCAGTCAAATATGTCATTACAAGGAACCATATTCTATCTGGCGCCTGAAGTATTCACTAATACAGATGGATATAGTGCTAAAGTCGATATATGGTAAATTCATTAATTGGCATATTTAATAACAAAAATAGAAACTTGGAAATTTACATAAATTATTTGTGTGAAAAATGTAGGAGCTTAGGGTGTGTCGTACTAGAAATGTTTACTGGTAATCGACCTTGGGCAACATTTAACGATCTAACTGCAATGTACAAGGTATACAAAAAATCTCGACTTATTGAAAAAATAGAATTTCTGTTTCCTAAAATTAAAGATTTTTTTTAGATTGGCAAAGAAAAAAAACATCCACCAATACCTAGTGCATCTGAGATATCAGGAGAAGCTAAAGACTTTTTGGAGCAATGTTTTATTATGTATGTTTATTATTATTTAATGTACATCATCTTATGATTGATTAATGGATTTTATGTGATATTTTTCACATTCGCAGAGATCCAGAAGCACGACCAAAAGCGTCAGAATTGTTACTTCATCCATTTGCAAAAGAAGATCCTAGTTTCCAATTCAAGGTAATATAAATAAAAATTCTAGTCCAGTTTATTTACGGATGTGTATTCTTCTAATCTACTTACCTTCAATTATTTATTAGAAATATATCAAAGTACCACCAATAGTACGTTCTAAACAATAATATTAATATTGGAGAGTACAATATACGGTTTTACTTTATTCTTTACGTAGCTGCATTCGTCATTCTTTTTGAAAGATATAATGTTTGTATTTATTTCGTCATATTTTCTATTATATGTTATTCTATTCTATTTCATTCCATTCCATTTCATTCTATTCTATTATTTATTTTATTCGTTTCATTGTATCGTATTACTAATTTTGTAGACATTATTCCTTTTTGCCCCAGAGAACCAATATAATTTATATGTAAATATTTTGTTAATTTTGATTTTCATTTTTGCTATTTATTTTAATAGGTAATTAAAAATAACCATCATTCTATTATTAAATTCTTTATTCATTTTCTTTTATTCATATTAAAAAGAACTTAAAATCATTATCTATTTAGAGCATTATTATCATTTTTAATTATTTGTTTAAAATATGGACTAGTGATAAATTAGATATCTTATCAAATTTTTCATTTATATTTATAAAGCTTATTATTTTGCATGTTTGTTAAATAAAATATTCACTTTGCTTTATAAATTAATAATAATTAATAATATATTAAGATTATTTTATATTTTCATCATGAATTATGTCAAGTGATAAAAAATTGCTGGATGTATATAATTATATAATGATTTGCTATTTTCATTATAATGTTGAAACTCATCTGAAAAATTAAATAATATATCTTATACTTGATTTTAATGGGATATTGGGTTTCTAATATAATTTTATATACAATCTTTTTGAAACTTAATATTTTGAAATCCAGTAATAGAAATCAAATATAAGATATATTATTTAATTTTCTAGTTTTATAATATTTACGTGACGGGGGCCTACTTGGTTCGCGATCATTCAAGGCTATTTGCTGAGCTACAAAACCAGTGTTGGGGACAGATGGCCTATTTGGTTGTCTGATGTTCAAGGCTACTTGCTGACTCTGTGGGATGTGGAATTGAATTGAGAGTTGCGGTCATGTCAGTTAAGCATATTCTTACTCATTATTAGCAAAGTCGTGGGATGCGAAACGTGGATTAGCTAAAGCGAAGAAGTCAATTTACTTTTATCGGCCGAGGTTTAGTGGTAATGGATCCGCAGTTGTCAATGGAGAATTGTTTCTTTTGGAGTGGTTAAAGCAGGAGTAAGTCCTTAAGCCATTATGGGATGTCAAAAGAGATTTTAGATTTTATTAAATGTTTCGCACATCATATGAGCATCACACAAGGTTTTCGTTTGCGTGATGGACTAGCTAACCTCACAAAGATGGAACCTCTGACAGCGCATGCGTTTTTTAGAAAAAAATACAATATTTATTATGGAAACTTTATGTCTGCGCTAGTTCGATGTTTCTTATAAAGCTACATCTAGCTTGCGTGTTATCGGAGCTGTAAAAGTGGATGAAGAAGAACCTATTACTGGTAGCCAAATTAAGAGCAATATAAATAAGTTGAAATTCAAACTTAAAAAAAATGATACAACGCTTTATCGACGTTGTTCTCAATGTACCGATATCTGAATTATGGAAGAGTCCATTGGGAAGTCAAGTCATTGCTGATGATTCGGATATAGTGCAAAATTTACCTAAACATTTACGGAAAGAATTTATGATAAGTGTTTATTTAACCATTCAACGTGAATTACCTCCTAATCTATTTTACTATAGAAACCAGTACAACAAATGTCACCGGAGCCTCTTCCGATAACCGTACAAAATAAATGTAATGAATTCGTAAGGTGTTTTGTCAGTCGCGATACTAATAAATTACCTAGAGCATTTGTTCATTTGTTCATGATGGAACTTGGAAGGAAACGGATGAAAAGCTTGCTGAGATCACGGATGGAATATTAGAAACGCTGTAAGATATTTTGTAATTTCTAGAACGTGTATCTAAGAAGTAGCTTTTTTAGAAGTATATTTTATTAGAATGATTCTTGGAACAACTCGGCATTTAGACCCGGTCATGCTGAAACACTGAATGAGGGAACTTATGTATCGAACATGGACCTGATATTTGCAATAAATGATGGTGGGAAGAAATATGAACTTATGTATACAGAATGCTCACGTTTATTTTGTACAAAGCAGAAAATAGATGATGGTGCTGTAAAATTATGACGTGAGACGAAAGACGGAATGTACTGGGTTTATAAAGGTTGTAGGCCTGAAAAAGATCTGTTCACATTTTCACTATCTACGTCAAAACAGATTCTCTACTGTGAGTACTAGCCATGTTTCTTCTGCCCATGCGTTTGCAACATGGTTGTTATGTTACTAGACACTAAAGAAGACTGAACAAGAGTAATCTGATCAGATGAGTTAAAATTTAATATTTTTGAATCAGATAAATATAAGCATTACTGGAAAAGAAAGAGAAAATTATTAAAAAACTCACATATTAAATCTATTATTAAATTTGATAATAAAGAATAATAATATGAATTATTTTATTATTTATAATATTAATAATCTTTATAAAATTAATAATAGAATAAATAATATATTATATAATATAAAGAAATTTTTTTAAGATCTTTTAAAAATTATTAATAATTTTAATTATATGCTAAATAATATTATTTTTAATAAAATAATAATTTCAAGTATATTATTATTAATAATTTATCAATAATAAAATTAATATTCTTGATTAATTATCACAATCTCTGGATCTTAATCTTATTAAATATCTATAAAATATTATTAATTATTATTTATATTATCTTTCAGAATTAATTTTGAAATAAAAGAATTTATAAAAGAAAATTTAGAATATGTAAAATAATATTAATATTAAGATACAGTGTGGGACATTAGATTCTGGAAATTTCTCGGTGAGAAGTTGATCAGTGTAACAAGGCCAATTTAGACCAGATTTTCTTTCTGTTTCATGCTATTTAACTACAAGATATGTAGTTACTTGTACTATATTTCCATTCATCAATCCTTGTTTCAATTTTTCCTGGAATATTATGTCAAAATGTCTGCAGAGAAGAAAAAAAACCAACGTGATACAATTTTGTTCTACTAGAACAATGGTATTTGTAAAACCACCAAAATACATAAGTTAACAAAGATCTCAAAAAGTACTATCCATGATAATATTCGCTAGATAGAAGAAAAAGATACCAACAAACATGTTAGTGATAAGAGTCAGTCAAAGAAAATAATAAAATCAACTGCGCATGTAATAGAATAATTTATTCATCATGATTCTTTTATTTTAACAAGAAATATTGTAACAAAACTGGAAAATAAGGGTGTTAAAATCTCTTATAGGACTATTGCATAGCATTTAGATGACAGTAGATATTTATTTAACCTCCTCCACAAGACACCTATGCTCACTGAGAATCAAAAGCAAAAACGTGTCAATTAGGTCTGAAAATATCTTAATGACAACTGGAAAAAGATATTTTTTTCAGATGAGACATCTTTTCAACTATTTAGAAACATGGTTAAATATTAGTATAAAGGTCTCTGACCAATTCATCATATTCCAAAGAACTGTAACAAAATTTATGCATGGGTGGATTCTATATAGGAGGTAAATCATCTTTGTACTGTTTTAGAGAAATGATGAATGCTGATTTTTTTATCAGAATTCTTTGTGAAAATATCCCAGAGGTAAAGATGATGCTTGACAATTGGTTTCGATGGCAACAAGATAATGATCTGAAGCATAACAGCCATCATATCTGGACTTTTCTCAAACAAAATATTCCCAAAATTATCAACTGACTATCTTACAGTTCCAATCTAAACCCTATCAAAAATTTATGGGCAATCATTAAAAGAAATATCAAGAAATGAATGCCAAAAAATCTCAATAAATTAGAGTAATTTATGGTAGAGAAATGGAATAAAATTCCAGACTCAATGTTAAAATCTTTGGTGGAATCAATGAGGGATAGGTGTTTAGAGATGATAAAAAAAATGATGAAGCAATTTTCTTTTGATTTTTTTTTAAATAAAAGGTCTATATCGCAGTAATTAATCAAAAAATTTTCACGTGGTTTGGTACTATCATTCTTGAAATTTGTAAATTTGGATTCTAATATCTCACACTATATATATCTATCTTATCAAATCTAAATCAAAAAGAATTATTAATATAATAAAAATTTATAATAATTATATAGAATAATAATTTAAATTAAAAATAGTTAATTCTTTAAAAAAATATAAAAAAAATAATTATTTACTAATCTTTTTTTATTTTATTCAAAAAGAATAAATATAATGTAATATTAAAAATTAAATATATTTAATAATTATAAAAAATTTAACTAAATAAAATTATTTTGAATTGATAATATTTTAAACTATAAAATTATATTATTTAATTATATTATTTAATTATATTAATAATGATTATGATACTTTTAATTATAGAGTAATATATTAATTTAAAAATTTTTATTTGAATATTATATTATTTTTAATTATTATTATATAATATCTGAATAGAAATGATTAATTATCATGAAATTTTACTAATTAATATTAAAAATAGTCAATATATAAACTAAATTTTTTATTAATATAATTAGTTATAATATGATAAGTAAATTTATTTATAATATCTATAATATAATTTAAAAAAGCTAATTATAATATATTATTATATTATTAAGTAAAAATAATATTTATATTTCAAAATATATAAATTTAAACTTTGAAATAATTTGATTTTAATTTTATTAAATAATAATTGAAAATATAAAATTTGTTAAAGTTTGAATTTTTATAATTATATATTATTATATACTTATCAGAATTCAGTTATATTTCATAATTTAATATATCTTTTTATTATTAATAATTTTCATTAATACATATTAATTTACTAATAAATAAATTAAAAAGTTTTTATATAAGTAACTTGATAAAATACATAATTTTATTTAGTTATTTAATATAAAATTTTATACTATCTTATATCTATATTTAATATAATTTCTAAAAAGAAAAAAATTAAATATCTCTTAATATATATAAATTATTAACACTTGAAAAGTAAGTTCAAATTTTAAAAAAATCTCTTAAATACTTAATTATTCTTATATAACTATTCAAAATATTATTAAAACTTATAAAGATTATAAAATTATTAAGTCTTTTTCTTAAGAGAAAAGACAAAAAATAATGTCAAAAAGAAATAAATATATTTTATTAAAGTTATTAAAAAAAATAAAAAGATGATACTTTCAGATAAAATTTTTAATTTATATTAAGTTAAATTAACTAACTTTCTACTTATATTTTCAAGAAATTAAAAATAGTTTTATTAATTCAACTTTAATAGTTATTTTTGAAAAAAATTAAAAAAGAACTTTATCAATCTGATTATTTTTGTCATATAAATATTAAAAAGTCTTATATAAATGAAAAAAATAAAAAAAAAGATTGAATTAGATTAAGAAGAAGAAAAACTAGAAAAATTAATGAAAGAAAATTATATAAAATGACAAATTATATTTTTATTTATTTAATAAGAATAACAGAAAAATGATATGATGATAATTAATGAAAAAGTTTAATATAAATTATCTTATTCCAACATACAAATCAGAACAAGATGGAATAATAATATGAGATTGCTTCCATAAAAATGAACTTGATCTATTAGTGAGATTGAGTAGAAGAGTTAATTCTAGAGATTATATTAATCTCTTGCAAAATAAACTTTTATCATATTTGAATACTCTTGAAAATAAGAAAAATTCTATTTTTTAAGAGGATAATACTTTCATTCACACATCAAGATTAAGTAATAAATGGAAGAATAGAAATAATCTAACTAGTTTTTATTAACTATCTCAAAGTTTTGATCTAAATTCCATTGAATATTTATAAGATATTCTAGAAAGAAAGATTAGAATATATAATTCCTTATTAAAAAATAAGAAGGAGCTTTGGCAAATATTGCAATTAGCTTTTTTGAGTTACATTATAATGAAAGTTTTAACATAATTTTCTAAAAATCTTTATCTTTGATGTAAGTCTTTGTTTTTTATTCAATATTTATACAAAGTTGCTCAAAGTTATAAAATGTATGCAGGTAGATATTGTGAATAAGTTTACTTATTACACTATAACTGATTGTGTTAGTAAAAAGTTTAGTTTATATATGGACTACTTTTAATATTTGATTAGTAAAATTTTGTGATGATCAGTCATTTCTGTATATTCTTATTTTCTCACAGATCTATACCTAAATCAGATAAAAATAAGAAAAAAAGTTCTGACAGTAGATTCAGAATAATCTTTGTTTTTAATATGTATTTCCATTTTCATTACATCAATAAAAAAGTTCTAGTAACTCAATTTTGTTTATTTCAGCTTACGTATTTTTGGATTTTTTTCTGAATTATTCTGATTTAATTTTTCTTGACAACTTAATAATGTGATATATGTTTTCTTATAGGTTTTCTTATTTAAAAATTCTTATCTTACCAGCAGCGCTTAAAATTATATAAAAATCTTTAAGTAATAATTGATTAAAACTTAGCAAATCATTTTGAATTCTGATAAATTATTAATAAAAGTCTTGATCTTTTAATTTTTAATAATTATAAGATCCAAAATTCTTTATTATATCAATTATTTAATTGGAATTTTTTAAATTTATAAGACTAGTAGATTTTAGAAAATATGTCAACTTATTTGATGAATACAGAATGCAATGCATTATATAACTTTGTAGCATAAATCTATTTCCACCATAGGTTGTTTCACGTGATAGGAAATTACCGATCATCATGTGTGCATTGCTATTTTCATTAATCAAGTATACTCGAGTATTCGATATGTAAATTCTATGAAAATCAGCCAATCACACGAAATTCCTCCTATAATGTGGTGTGATTGACTATAGCTCGTACATTAATAAGCTGCATTTATTTTGTAGGATTACTTTCGCGTATCATTATTACATTACGATAAAAAACGCGTTTCAACAAAAAAATATTTCATTTCAGTGGGTAAATTATCCTCTTTGGATTCAGAAGAGTTGTTTGGGAACGAGCGAGATCAAAGTATAAGATGTTTTATGGAAATATAATTTAGACTGTCTTTTGAGTAGTGTATTTTATTAGAGTGAAGACGATAATGACAGATAGAGCAAAAGGTTATTTTGTATCATGCAATAATAACATGATCGAATTCATCACATACAACCTTTTTTTTTTTACTTTAAGAATACTAAATCGTAAGGCATAGACACCGCTTGTAAAAGTTTTTAAATTTCTCACGGAATCCCATTCACTTAATTCTTCGCTTTCTATAGGTTTGTCTTTAAATGATATCAAGATCCTCGAATTTACATGTTGCTTTTAGTCTCCCATCGTTGTTTGGTCTCAAATCTGTTAAAGTTATGTTAAAATTAATAATATTTATTAAATAAGGAAAAAATGACGATAAAACATACCCCCATTTCAATTTCGGTTTCTTTCTATTCGCTCGAGCTTTTTCTTCACGCTAAAAATAAAAAATATTTAAGAATATCAATCAATTATCAAATCAAATAACTGGTAACAACGATATTTGTTACCTGTTTGGCCTCAGCAAACTCTTTGCGTTCAATCGCTTCTTTCACCGTCTTTTTGTAGTCTTGTTCAGCGATCTCGTCACTTAGTTTTGTTGCTAAATTAAGATTCCCTTCTCTTATTGCTTGATCTAATTGTTTCTCTAATATTCCCTTTTTTTTTTAATTATTATAAAGAGAACAAATTATATATTGCATATTTTCCATTCGAATATGATTATCATCATGAGTCCAATTTTTCTACCTTTGGATTGAGTCGTCCGTGATCAACATCCTTCAGTTGGGAATTCATGCCTATATAATGAGCAATGCTTTGGGGTAATGGGGTGAATTCTGTTGTTGCTGACGCAAAAGACCATTTGTGTTTTTTAATGTTTTTCGTCTTTAAATCATTTTCTCGGTCGAGATTTTTCTCTTCGACTAGATTTGGAGGGAATCGTTAGATCGAGTTTTTAGAGATTCGAGCAAGACAATAATCCGAGTATGATACTTTGCTGTCTCTGCTATCTAAGACGTTATTCAAGTCGTCAGTTTTACGCTTTTTAGACGTTTGCTCTTCTTGAATGTTTCTTTTCCTGCTCGCACCTTCCTTCTTCCGACGAACTACAGCCTGAAACCGTTTTTGTAAGTCTTCTAAATGTTCTCTTGCATCTTTACGTGTAATCGGGTTAAGTGTGGAGTTTTGTTGTGAGGTTATTTCTTGAATTTCTTCCGATTTGCTGCTAATAGTAAGACTTTGATCTTTCTTCTGAACAAAGTTATTCATTGTTTAATAATTTATAGTCAAGAATAATGCTAATCATCGATAATCTGATGTCTTAATCACATTACATTTTTAGAAACCTGTATAAATAGGCATCCAGATATTCAAGATATCCCAATTTCCGATTTTCATATGATATAATGATCAAATATCGAACAGAAGGATTCAATGGATATTCGGTAATTTTTTTTTCAGATACGAGATGTTCATAAATTTAACCAGTTTTAACTGATTTTTATTAAAAAAGCTACAATTCAGCCCATTTTTTGAAAACAAGCTTGCTTGTGGAACCGCTGCCAATTTTGGACTAGTTGGAAATGGACGATTATTTATTATGAATGTTGGAGTGGGTCCAACTGGAATTGAAGTTGAACGAATGTGCGTGATTTCTATTTAATGTATTCGAGATACATTTTGTGAGATTAAAATATATATATATATATATATTTTTTTTATTAGATTTGATACACAAGATGGACTGTTCGACTGCTCATGGAGTGAGATTAACGAGAATCAAATAGTGACTGCGAGCGGTGATGGTTCTCTCAAATTATGGGATATTACACTTCCGGTTTGTATGATAGTTGATTTCAAAGAAGTAACAAATGCCCAAAAAAGGAGAGGATGAATTTTGCTGATTTGGTTTATTTTTTTGATGTTGAAGGATTTCCCAATAAGGAATTGGCAGGAACATGAACGTGAGGTGTTCTCGGTTCATTGGAATCTCGTTAAAAAGGACACAATCGTTAGTGGATCTTGGGACACTACAATTCGATTGGTAAAACAACGATAACAACCTAATCTATATGTTTAGTATGATGATTTCTCTCTAAATTTAACCTTTAAAAAAACAATAGTGGAATCCTGAGCTTCCACAATCACTAAGAACCTATGCTGAACACACAAAAGTCGTATACAACACCACTTGGTCTCCGCACAACCCCGAGATATTTGCATCTGCATCCGGAGATCAAACTTTAAAAATATGGGATCTTAAATCCCCATCAAAATCCGTACAGACAATTCTAGCACATCACAACGAGATACTCTCACTAGACTGGAACAAATATCAACAAAATATGGTTGTTACCGGGTCCTCGGATCTGACAGTAAAGTTATGGGACTTGCGATATCCAAATCGTGAGGTGATTTCGTTGCTTGGTCACGAGTATGCGGTCCGTCGAGTTAAATGTTCACCTCATAATGGTAATATTGTGGGCTCAGTCTCGTATGATATGACGATGAGACTATGGGATACTAAATTGCCGAACCCATTGATTGAAGTTCATGATGATCATACAGAATTTGTTGTTGGGATTGATTTTAATTTGTATGTTGAAGGTCAGGTTGCTACCTGTGCTTGGGATGAAAAAATACACGTGTTTCAACCGATTTCTTTGATGAAGTCTTCTGGATTTTATTGAACTTCTGGCTTAATTACTGTATGTGGCTCACAATACTTCTTGAGAAATCAAACATCCATTAAAGATTTGGACGAAACAGTGCCATTTTTTGTGTCGGAGTTAAAGGCACGTGATAAAAAATATCTCGTTTTTGCGGATCATGTGATTTATCTGCGTCGAGCAAAACGTCACCTGATCCGGAAAATTCTATTTTGATTTTAACGGTTGATTTAAGGTTAGAGTTTTAAAGGGTCAGACTTTGTTTTGCCGGGTTGATCAAATTCCTATTGTTTATAAAATAAACAGGTTAGATATCGCATAAATTTATTTGTGTAATACAACAAATACATGTATATTTAATAAACCATTGGATTGTAATGTAGCCCAAAAATGTCTTCGAAATATTCTTCGAGTTCTGGTACTAATTCTCAAGGACCAAGCGATCCAAAATCTTTGTTCTGTTATGGGTGTAATAAGGAGAAACCTATTCACTCCTTCTCGAAAACGCAACAAACGAAAGCGAAATCAAACATTCACAATCGTATGTAACTCATACATAGGATATATACCGACGAGATACTCATTGTTTTCTCTAAAATGACAGCTTACGTGCCCGGTGGAAAAACTCGTAAAAAGCATCATACGATGTGCAAACAGTGCACCCCACAACAGAATAATTCCTTAACTTGTATGCTGTGTACTCGAACCAAGCCTTTGGAAGATTTCGCGAAGGTATAAAGATTTTAGATTCGCTTTCGTTCTGTCCTTGTGTTGTTCTATGAATGTGGAATTGATGCACATCAATGGTTTATTTATTGGATAATTTTTCATTTATTCTTAGGCTCAACGCAAGAATGCCGAAAAAGCTCGTTGTTCTAGTAAGTAAACGCAAATTTTGCTTTTTCTTGTTTTCTTTATTTTCTTTTTTTTTAACATCGCACGCAAAACACATTTACCAAATAGAATGCATGGAAAAACGAAGAAAAGCCGATGAGAACATTTCCGATAGTGAACCCGACACTGAAGACGACGACGACGATGTCTACGAAAATGAAACATGGGATGATGTCTTGTAAATAAAATACGAATTACTAATTCCACACACATACACTTCAAAAAGCACCAGAATAATCTGTCTTTTTTGGTTGTTGTTTGTTTGATTCGTTTAGTTGTGTAGTTAGATAGTTATTAGGAACAATTTTTATCCCTTTTCTTATATCGTAGTCATCATCATCCCTAGATTGATTTAAATGAGTGAAGTTTTCATATACGCACGAATTAATAAGTAGCATCGCTATTTGCCTCCAAACCAAACAAGAAACTCATTTTTATCAATAAATTATTTGATTTTTCTATGCGTAATGATTTACATCTGATAAAAAGCAATAGACTTTCATGATATCTTTTGAAAATTTGCTATGTGTTAATACTAAGGAATTAATAATACTAAGAGATTGATAATTATTTAGCGAAATGAAAATCCCACGTATCTAACCATTTTCGGTTTAACACACCATCAACATCAAGTCCAGGAGTTCCGTAGGTAATCGGCGCAAAATAAACATAAACCACACAAGAAACACACAATAACGCAATACCACACACTATGGCCGTAATTCCGACGTCAGCTGTCAATACGACACGTGCAATTCTTTTCTTTGTTGCCGATGCGGAAATTGGGTAATTTACGGAATTCACAAACATGAAATTAAATACTGCAGCTGCCAATAGATAACTGCATAAAACCGCGGGCAAATAGTGATGTAGGAAGAGAGATCGACCCATCAGGAAAAATGGGATATAATGGAAAAACCAAGCAATAAAAAAGAATCCAGCCGAATTATAAAGGCGGTTACGTACGGCTTCATTAATATTATTATTATTATTATTTACAAGAATTGGGGGAATTAATATATTGTTTATAGCAATCTTTGAAGCATGAAAATGCAAATTTGTACTCACGATCTATAATTGGATGAATTCCTCTTCTTCTCGACACTGCATCAGCTGCTGTCACACCGACAAACACAGATAAAGCTCCAATACCAATCCACCATGTGAATGGATTTCCCAAAAGGTATATTTGTTCTCGAGTGCTATCTTTGGTCCAGAATGAAATTCCTCGTACCAAAAATGGCCAATTGATTGGGCCAGTAGAGTAAGGATGAGGCTTTGTTAAGCCAGAATTATGACTAATCATTAAACGTTGAAGCTCGACGAATTTTCTGAGGAATGGAAGTTCTCTTGTTGGTTTCTTTGGATGCATTTCTTCCGTTACTATCAAGAATCATAAATCAATATCGTCAATGACGTAATTTCCGTGATAAATTCTTTACTTTCAGTCGTAGAACATACCATTTTTTCCCACAATCTCATTTGCAAACCAATAATTGCTCTTTTCAAGGTTATTCTTATTCCCATTGACCTCCTGTTGTTTATAGGCCCAGTCGGGTAAAACCGAATCGTATGTCCATAATGCAACCTTCGTGTCAAAGTGAACCAGGCGAAAATGACTGGCTTTAGTTCGCCATTTAGTATCTTCTTCTCCATTTGAAAGCAGGACTTGGAATATTGTTTCATTATAACGGCTATCATCATCAACAGAAATAGTGGTGAATTCTTGATTAGTTGGCATTAACGGTGAAGCCACATCATGGGTTAAAAGATGAGATTGAGTATTAACGTGCTCAAGAAGAATGTAGTCGCCATGTTTTATCACATCATTTTCTGGTCGTTCTGGATCGAAAAATGGAATTGCTGGTTTCACTCGCCAGTAATTGTTAGTATCTTCGTGTGGATATCCGGTTACTTGCTGACCTTTTGTTTTTTTAAAAAAGATTTATCTATTTATTGTACCATGTTTTTTTTTTATAACTAGAATTATCTTTATCATACCTTGACTACTGATACGACCATCGTCATAACGAAGTGGATATCTTTCCAAATGTGAATGCAAAAAAACCGAGGTATCCTTATGTTTGATGGTGATCGTATCATTGAATCGTATATCTAATATAGAGTCATTATTATTATCATCATCTTTTTTTTGTCATTCAGAATATGTCGAAAAATTACCATGACTTTGATATGTCATAACATTCCCATGCAGGGTTTCCTGAAATTCGGGACTCATGAAATCATCACCCGGGCCACTTGTGTTCAAAATGGCAAAATGAACATAGAACCAGAATAAATAAATTGCCATTGGTATGAATATTAAGCCAATTGCACGGGCAAAAAAGTGTTTTCGAAATTGTCTCTGTAGTAAAAAAAAAAGAACAATTCCAATGAATAAGAATTATACTCACAATATAATATATAATATTTAGATGATTGCTTACAATGGTTAGTCCACGTTGTATATCCAATAATTCCCATAAATCAACAAGAACAGCAACTCCAATAGTTGCAAATGTGAGCAATCCCACCATCTTAACACTGGAAATAAGTATTTCACGTATTTAATATTTGCAGACTTCTCAGCATAGACATATTAATAAGCATATACCTTGTGGTCAAAGAAAGCGAGACTCCAGTTGCAATTAACCAAAACCACCAATCTAGTGTAAATTCCCTTTAGATTCAGAATTTTTAGGTGTTAGCAATTAAAAAAATATGAAACAGCAGATTTTACAACAAATACCTAAGACGGAGTTTGTAAAATCGAATATAAGAATAAAGAGTGCATAACACGAAGAAAACAAGCATCGCGTCAAGAAGGATCAAACGAGTCTGAGTAATCAATGCATTGTCTTTCAATATCAATTGAATCAGAGAGCGTCAACATAATAAATCATATAAAAAAATAATAAAATACCTAGACTGAAGACATATACTTATCAAAAAATATTTTCTTACCGAATAAGACCAATCCAGCAGCAAAAGCGGCTGTGATAATTGGATATCCAGATTCAATCATAATTAGATAAGCAATTGGTACAAGCAACGCGCCAAATGTCGCAGGTAATATCCTTAGACCAATATATGGGACATTATTTTTGATATAATCCTCGCCAATATTCTCGAAAAGATAATGTCCATCGTAGCCAATAAGCCAGCCAACTCCTGCAAACATAAGCTTAGCGAGTGGCGGATGAACATCAAAATAATATGTTCTTTGGAGATAATAGCTCGCAAATTTTCCGAAATGCACTTCATCAAAACTATATATGTACATACGCATAGCCCGTAAGATAGATGTTAATTCAACATGCAAATCGATGATGCATGAACTTCACTTACACCACTTCAGCCGGATGACCGATATCCCAAAAACGCGTTATCAAACTAGCAGCAGTTAAAAAAAGTAAAACCGCGTTTGATATTTGTTTATCTCTTGCATTTATTTTCGGCAAGCTTTCATTCTACAAGAACCCTCACTCGTTATTTTCAAACTCAAAGAGACATTAGCAAAAAAAAGAAGGTACCACTTGAAACAGGCTTAACTTTTTTTTTGGTATCGTCATCCTCGTTTAGTGTTTTGCTTCCTTTCCTTTTTTCCTCGAGGACCGCCTTTTCGCCAAGTTTTACTTTATCTCCAAACTCACCCTGCCTCTGGCGAGGTTTGATTTCTTGTGACATTATTAATCGTTTGGGCCTCTAGTTTTTTGCAAGTATGAAAATATCGCGTTATCTGTTAAAACTTTTTATGATTATATGCGCGACGTGCGCAATATTTATTGGGTAGGATGAAACACGAGTCTCTGGAAAAAACCGAACATTTGGGCCGAATCAAAAATCATGATAGTTAAAATTCAGAATTTCGGAACAAGCTAGTCAAAAAAGTCCGTTTTTTGGTCTTATAAATAGCCAATAACGTAATCAATCAAATATTCGCGTTACGAATTTTTCACCTATGTCTGCTGACGAACATATAGATTTAATTAGCGAGTTTACAAACGTTGTTCAGTGCGATGAACAACAAGCTACCTTCTATCTAGAAGCGAACAAATGGGATATACAAGTAAATATGTGGTTACGCGAAAGAACAAGGAAGTTCCATTATTGAGTTTTTGGCTGCAAACAATGACCTTGCTCGATTATTTAGAGTGCCTTGAGTCAATTCCTTGAAGATAACCCGGAGGATGATCAAGCGGAAGATAACCAAGTGGAAGAACAAGATTTAACACCGTCTTCTGGTCCTGCTCAAGTCAACGATCCTATCAATAATGCTGGAAAACTTGCTTCGAACATTTCAAGTTCGACTAGTTCAAAAAACCTTGCTAGTAGCTCTTCAAAGAAACCAGGGTACTACTTGAATAATCATGCTCAGAATCTTGAATTTTGAAAAAATTACTAATCGGTAAATTTTACAGGGGACGTTTCACCACTATTAGTGATTTAGAAAAAGAGCTGGCGGAAGATGATGATGACGAAGATGCATCAGAAAAGTTGTTTGCTGGAGGCGAAAAATCGTGAGATTTATTCTGATGACTCAATCACTTGTGGCTTTGATTCATTGACTTGATGAATTTTTTTTTCGTAATTTTTTATAGTGGAATTTTTATGGAGAATCCCGTCACAAAAGCATCCTCTTTGGTCGGCGACATATTGAAAAAAGCAGCCGAGTAAGAACTTTTATTTTCCAAGCTGTAAAAAATCGATCATCGAAAAACATATAGTTTCTTCTTCTCATAATAATAGAGGTGGTCGTGGCCCTCAAGAAGAAGAGGATGCTCCCAAAAAACCTTCGCGGACATTTTTCACTGGAACAGGTACTAAACATTCTTTATATATATAACAGCCTCTTGAAATGAAGATGATGATACATTAATTTTCCAAAAGGCTATAAGCTCGGTAGTGAGGAAGAGCCATCAGAAGAAATTCCCACTATACCACCAGCACCTAATGAGATTGTTTCTGAAGAACCGGTACATACTAAAAATCATTGTTTAATTTTTCAATTGATTTGTGATTATACATAATTAACACATGGATTCATGTATGCCTTTAGGTTGTTCGTCATCTGACATTCTGGAGGGATGGATTCAGCATTGAGGATGGTCCTTTGATGTCTTACGATGATCCACAAAATAGTGAATTTCTTAAAGCAATAAACAGCGGGTAAGTATACTATACTATAAATTGATTTATATATGCAGCAAATTACTAATTTTCATCTTCGATAATCATTATAAAGTCGAGCTCCACTATCGCTGTTAAACGTGAAACAAGGACAACCTGTTGATATGCGAGTTTCACGAAAATTAGAAGAAGATTATAAGCCTCCACCTAAAAAACCTGCTAAACCATTTTCCGGATCCGGTCGTAGGCTTGGAAGGTAACTTAACCACAATCAAAAGAGTGATAGCACAAATCATTATTCATTCATTCCGTTTCTCTCATCACTGTCCTATCAATTTATTTAGTCCCGTTGGAAATATAAATTCGAGTCCAGCACCTTCGACCACAACTGCCTCCACCGCCACAAGCACCTCCACAAGCACCCCCACAATAAGAACTCGACAATTGGAGATTGACGAATCTTTACCGGTAACTTCGCTTCAGATTCGCATGGCAGATGGGACGAGGTATCACTTTTATAAATAACTTATTAAGATCTAAACAATAGAAGCGAAGATTTTTTAAATTAATTTCAAATCTATAGGATGGTGGCCAGATTCAATCACACTCATACTATACGCGACGTTAGAGAATTCATTAACGCGTAAGCATTCTCAAAAATAAAGTTTATGGTTTAACTATATTTAATCGGATCTAACATAATAATAACCTTATCCTTATTAATCATCTACAGTTCAAGAGTAGGCGAAGCCAATCGTAATTACGTTCTTCAGACTACTTTTCCCACTAAAGACTTGAAAGATGAAACGCTCACTTTGACTCAAGCGTCTCTCATTAGTTCTGTAATTGTTCAGCGATATATCTCGTGAAAGAATAAAATCGACATTGAAATATTTATTTGGCAAATAATTTTTTTTTCATTCTTGTGTTATCTTGAGGACATTTAAAAATATCTATATAGTAGTAATAAACTTAATGTACTATGTAAAATAAAAATAGGACTTTTTTATCAATCCAATCGCTGATTTGTTAATCCATATGCAGTTTAGACGAAATTTTGCTCAAAAATACAAATCGTTGGAGTACCCAAGTTAAGGCTGTCTTTATAGACACTTGGACAACATGAGAAAAAATATATAAAATAAAAATTTTATTTTACAACAATCTGTTACGTTGAAGCTTTTGCATACTTTATACAAAGCTTCAGCTCTCTAAAGACAGCCTTAATCCCTTAGTATTACACATAAAATTGAAATTTGCTCTCGGATGTGGCTTATGACTGGATCACGTGTGCATCATCATTCAAGAATCCAGACAGATGTTATAGTAAGCAAAAAAAAATTGTTCAGACTATCCTATAGTGAAGATCCTAAAATTCAAGTCATTTTTTTTTTGCATTATGAATGCTAGTGGGCAAAATATGGCTACTTTTCTTGAAACTGTCAACAATAATGATAATAGTGACGATAATGTTGAAGGTTTGATTTCTTTGACACTAATAAAATGACAAGACTTATTTCCTCTTTTTAATATTGATATGATTCCGTACGAAAAGCAGGTACTCCACTAAACACCACCACCGAAGCATTCAAATCTGACTTTGGGACGTTAGATATTTCAGACGCAACAAAAAATGCCATCAAAGACATGGGGTTCACGAAAATGACGGAAGTCCAGGCAAGGACGATTCCCCCATTGATGGCAGGTCGCGATGTATTAGGTGCGGCCAAAACTGGTTCCGGAAAGACATTGGCATTTCTGATACCTGCAATAGAGATCCTGCACAAACTTAAATTTAAACCGAGAAACGGTAAGTTTGATTGATCGATCTTTATATATGAGAGACTTTTATGCTCATGATTGGATTTCTTTGTGATAGGTACTGGTGTCATTATTATTTCGCCGACAAGAGAATTGGCGCTTCAGATTATGGGGGTAGCCAAAGATTTGCTAAAATATCATCAGCAGACTTTTGGTATTGTGATGGGTGGTGCAAATCGACCCGCTGAAGTTCAAAAATTAGTTAAAGGTGTAAATCTTTTAATTGCCACGCCGGGACGACTTTTAGATCATCTACAGGTTAGCATGAATAGATCTATTCTTCATGTTTCTTATATATGGAATATTTATTTTTTGCTGATTCTTTAAGAAAATAATACGATTTATGAAAAGAATACAAAAGGCTTCGTGTATAAGAATTTGAGAGCACTTGTGATTGATGAAGCTGATCGAATTTTAGAAATTGGGTTCGAAGAAGAAATGAAAAAAATTATTGATATTCTTCCAAAAGGTATTTGATGAACTTTATTATTAAATTATCTTCTTACGAGGTATCTAATTCAATTACCCTCTAATTGATAGAGGACCGTCAATCTATGCTCTTCTCCGCCACACAGACTACCAAAGTTGAAGATCTTGCCCGAGTTTCGTTGAGGCAAAATCCAATATATATTAATGTTGATCAACAAAAAGAAACTTCAACAGTGGAAGGCCTTACCCAAGGCTACGTAGTCTGTGATAGCGATCAACGATTCTTATTGTTGTTCACATTTTTGAAGAAAAATTTAAATAAAAAGCTCATCGTCTTCTTTTCAAGTTGTAAATCTGTTCAGTATTATGCGGAATTATTAAATTATATTGACGTCCCTGTTTTGGATCTACACGTAAGTTGGATTCATTCATCTTTTTATGATTAATAAGATCATTCGCCGTTCTTAAAATTCCGTTCTATTAAAAAAAAAATAAAATAAAATAAAGGGTAAACAAAAACAAACAAAACGCACACAAACTTTCTTTGAATTTATGAATGTGAAACGTGGAATTCTTTTGTGCACGGATGTTGCTGCACGTGGTTTGGATATCCCGGCTGTAGATTGGATTATCCAATATGATCCACCCGATGACCCGCGCGATTATATTCATCGTGTAGGAAGAACTGCACGGGCTGGTGGGAAAGGTCGGAGCTTGCTGTTTTTATTACCAAGCGAATTGGGATTCCTGCGTTATCTTAAACACGCTAAAATTCCATTAAATGAGTACGAATTCCCCGCAAACAAAATAGCTAATGTCCAATCACAGGTAAGCCTCTTTAATAATCGATGAATGCTATGGATAAATATCATTACTTTTTCCTCCAAATTTTTAATAACGTTTGAATTTCCCAGCTTGAAAAGTTAATAGAAAAAAATTATTATCTTCATGAGTCTGCACGTGCTGGGTTCAAATCATATTTAATGGCATACGCATCTTACTCGCTAAAATCAATCTTCAATATAAACAATCTGGATCTTGCAAAAGTTGGCAAATCTTTTGGATTCCAAGTACCGCCAAGAGTTAATATCAATATAGGGACCAGTGGAAAAGCGCCAAAGGCTCAAAAACGCAATAATATTGAAAGTGAAATAGCTCCAAGGTCTCAAAAACGCAATAAACTTGGAGGTGGGTTCGATAATAATAAATTAAAAGAAGGTAAAAAGCATTTTGTGAAGCAACGCAATAGCGCGCTCAAACGAAATAATAGTGAATTACAATGGAGTCGATAGTTTGCATGCATCGTCATGATTATGATGATTATTATTATAATTCTTATTATACGTTTACCTTGAGAGTAATCTTTTTTTCGCCAATTAACCGTCATTATTTCCCATCACCCCGAACTCGAGTATTCGAAGAATTAAAGATGTTAATTAAATAACGTCTTCTCTTAACAAAATTGTCATAAAAAGTAACCATAGAAGAATCAACGACGATCCCAAAAATATCAAAAAGAAAAGGAAAAAGAAGGGATAGTAGAAATGTTACATATAATAATATATTTAAGCTCGTGTTAGGAGTTTATTCGAGCAGGATAATTCAATTTATCTGTTTCAAATGTCAAGTATTAAAGATCACACACTCATAATAATCACACTCCGTATTATTATGATGATGATTATTATTCCATAGCATAATTATCAGGAGTCCTAAATTGTCCCCGATTAGTAGGGAATCGATTCACATGAGGTGCCCCGGGTGCAGGTGGAAGTGAAATTTGATTGGCCATATTAATTAATGGCATTACGGGTGCCATTGGAGCCATCTGAACAGGAACTGGAACAGTGGACGGAATTGCAGTCATTTGAACATTAACTCCAGTGGGTATAGTAGTCATTTGGGCAGTCATTTGAACATTAGGGATAACAGTCACAGGTTGTTGAACTACTCTGATTGTACCTTGAACACCATTCATCATACCATTATGTTGCATTGGATTATGATTTTGCTGAACTGTGTTTAGATTATGTTGCTGTAATCCATTTGCTAATCCATTGGCATATCCATTAGATAGACCATTTGGTAATCCATTAGATAACCCATTGTGTGGTAATCCATTTTGCAGACCATTGGGATTATGTTGCATAGTATTGTGTTGTTGCTGCTGCTGCTGCTGCTGCTGCTGCTGCTGTTGTTGTTGCTGTTGTTGCTGCTGTTGCTGCTGCTGCTGCTGCTGTATTTGATGTTGAAGAGGTGTAGTATATGCAAGATCCTGGAAATATGGATGTTCTAATGCGTTCTTTGCTGTGATTCTTTCGTCTGGCTGATAGACCAACATTTTGCTCAATAAATCCATTCCCGAAGGGTCTATCATAGGCAAGTGAGTGGCCATATCTTGAGGGGTATAAGCTGGATATGGCTTATGAAAATCTTGATATTGCGTCACGCCTGGCCATGTTGATTCATTTGGCGTGCCCATTATACGAAATATTTTGATCAATTGATCGTCATTGGTGGTGCCGGGGAATAACGGACGTCCGGTGTACATTTCTGCCATAATACAACCAGCTGACCATATATCGATCGAGGTTGAATATGATCTGGAGCCAAGTAACACGTCAGGGGAACGATACCAGAGGGTGACCACCTCATTTGAGAACGTGGAAACTGGGATACCAAAAGCACGAGCAAGTCCGAAATCGGCAAGTTTGAGATTCCCATTTTTATTAATGAGAAGATTTTGAGGTTTTAGATCACGATGAAGCACTCGATTTTCGTGACAGAAAGCGATTCCCTGTAACATTTGATACATGAAACTTTTTATCGTGTACGGATCCAAAGCCCCATGATTTCCATGTGTATCCATGTATTTCTTCAAATCTTGATCCATGTATTCAAAAACCAGCATAAGCTTATTCTCAGTGTGAATCACATCCTGAAGACGCACGATGTGATTATGCTTCAATTCTTTCATTAACGATATCTCGCGTATGGCAGTGGATGGGGCTCCTTCTTCTGAATCCAGATGAATCTCTTTCAGAGCAACAATCTCACCAGTCATCTTATTTTTACCCTTGTATACTGTTGCATAAGTTCCTTCCCCAAGTTTTTCTAATCGATGATATTTTTCTGATGTCATTTTTTTCGCTTCTTCTCTTTTATTGGAGAGTTTACACACGTGCTTCTTTTTTGCACACACGCACTTGATTTATATTGGTTTGGACGGAAATTCAAAAAAAGTAAGAGCTGAAAGAATGCTGGTTTTTAAAAAGACGATGTTCAACGTTTTTCGGGAAAAAAAAATCTTTAACGTCATCAAGTTGGATAGAAAGCACAAACCTATGACTCTATGACTCTTGGAAGATAAATAGAAGGTGAAACAACTAAAATTTCTGGAATTACGGTGGTCCGTCGATTAGTTTTTTAATCCCAACTGTGAAGTTCCGGTCGTCAAATACACTTGTGTGAGAAGGGAGGGTTTGTGTGAGTATGAGAGTTGTAATAGCATAACAGCAAGAGTATGTGAGCGCTCACCCGTTCCTTTTTGTATGAGAGCCTCATTGTTTATTTTGCTTTTCCCCTTTAGGTGGGAAACCAGTCACGTTACAACGACTTATCACATGGTGGCTCATTGATGAATTTGATGAATTTCTTGTTCCGAGCACGCGTGGTTTCTTTACGTCAGACACACGGCCGGTCTTTCCTAAGATATTATTTGAGAGGAACAATACCACACACAAATACCTATTGTCAATAGTGTTTGAGAGAAAAGTAACCCCCACTATGGAACGACTTCAACGTCTTTTTGGCGCAGCAGCAGCCGGACAAAGCTTGCAACCTGGTGTTGATACCCCAACCGTTGATAATGCGGAGATGGTTTATATATCTTCGCTGGCTTTATTAAAAGTAACTTTGTTGAAAAATTCGTCGTTTCTCGTTGGAATTGGTTGCATGATCAACTAAGAGTGGTAACTCACGTAAACTCTTTTCATTTGGTTATTAGATGTTGAAGCATGGTTTGTGAATTTATCTTGGAGGGGAAATTTTTTTTTGATGATCTAAAACTCAATCTAAATATCTAATTCGAAATCAATTCAAATCAAAAGGTCGAGCTGGTGTTCCTATGGAGGTAATGGGCCTGATGCTCGGTGAATTTGTTGATGACTATACAGTTCGAGTGATCGATGTATTTGCCATGCCGCAAAGTGGTACCGGCGTATCCGTTGAGGCTGTTGATCCTGTCTTTCAGACAAAGATGTTGGAAATGTTAAAGCAGACTGGGCGGTTTGTGTTTAATTTTATTGGTGTTTTACGATTCCTTCCCGTGAGTAAGTGATTTTTTAATCTTTATGTATGCATGGGTTAATGTGTGATTTTAGACCTGAAATGGTGGTCGGTTGGTATCACTCTCATCCCGGTTTTGGTTGTTGGTTGTCTAGCGTTGATATCAATACACAGCAGGTGAGAAAAATAAAAAATATATCAATCAATGATAAACGACGTTGATTATTGTTTCATTCTAAGGAGGTTATTGATTTGATTTAAAAAAAAAATTAGAGTTTCGAAGCGTTAAATCAACGAGCAGTAGCAGTAGTCGTAGATCCGATACAATCAGTAAAAGGAAAAGTAGTAATCGACGCATTTCGTCTAATTAATCCACAAATGTTGATGTTGGGTCAGGAACCGCGGCAAACTACTTCGAATATCGGTCATTTGAATAAACCGAGCATTCAAGTAAATATTATTTTTTTGAAGTTTTCACACGAATCATGATATTAAATATCGGATTTAAATTTTCTAATAGGCATTAATTCATGGACTAAATCGTCACTACTATTCAATAGCAATCAATTATCGAAAGAACGAACTAGAACAAAAGATGTTACTGAATTTGCATAAAAAGAATTGGACGCATGGTTTGACGTTACATAATTTTACGGAACATACAGAGTTGAATGAAAAAAGCGTCAAGGTAATTAATCATTGTCACGATTATATTATTCGCATGCTATGATATGTTAATTCTTTTTGATGTTTCTAGGCAATGCTTACCCTGGCAGAAGCATACAACAAATCAGTCCAAGAAGAATCCACCATGACAACTGAACAATTGAAAACACGTCATGTGGGTAAACAAGACCCAAAGCGTCACCTGGAAGAAAGTTTGGAAGAGGTGATGTCGAATAACATTGTCATGGCTCTTGGTACAATGATCGATTCTGTCTGTTTTTGAGAATATCGATCTAGTTTATTTTTTATTGTTATTATGGAATGCCAAGAAAATAGCATATTGCTGCGGTGGATGTTAAATGAATTTAGAAAATCTTTGTATCTTATTTATTGAATGTTCGAGATGGATAGATGGTAAATCAATCACCGAATCCTGTGACATAACTTTATTTTTATTACACAAGAACCGACAAAACTGCATCACAATTAATTAACGTTTTTGTAGCTGCGACAATAACGATAACGAATTGTAACAATAAATAATAATGAACCGTTTGGTATTTTTTTCTTTGATATTCGTTCTATCTTTGCTGGTGTTTTATAATTTACTTTGGTCAAAACGCGAAAACTTGTCTTACCATCAAGTTTCAACATACCATTATAAGCCTAAAACCGTTGCGATAATTGGTAACTTTTTGAGATTATGATATTTCCGTGACATGAAAGAAATATTAAATAACACCTAATGATTTTAGGAGCTGGAGCAGGCGGAACATCCGCTGCCTATTTTCTATCAGAAAAATTCGAAAACACCTCACTAAAAATCGAGAGCACCATCTTCGAACGCTCAAACTATGTGGGTGGTAGAAGCACCGTTGTGAAATTCGTGCGTGACGAACAAGAATACCCTATTGAACTAGGTGCATCGATTTTCATTGATGTTAATTATCATTTAGCGAACTCGGCGAAAAAGTTTGGGTTAGAGTATGAATATTTTGGCAAGAAATTTCCGGGGGCGAGGCTTGGTATGTGAGTAGTTTGAATATTATGGCACTGAATTTCCGGGGCCGAGGCTCCTCGTTGGACTAATGACACTCTTTCTATTGATAATGAATTTTTGCGGAATAATAAAAAAGATGGGATGGAAAAGAATTCGTTTTTGAACAAACTTCATACAAATATTGGGATATTGTTAAAATTTTTTGGAAATATGGATGGGCGCCATATACGGTATTTTATTTATTAAGAGAATCCAGATTTGCCAAATAAGATAATCACACGGTATGTTTTAACACCAATTCAGGTCCAAAACATGGTCAAAGACATTGTGTCCAAATTTCTGGCGATCTACAAATTTCAGGAGCCATTCACCAGCGTACAATCAGCATCCGAACGTCTAGATCTGGCTGCTGAAATTCAACACACCGCGCTCAACTACTTTAGAACCTTGAAAAAGATAGATCCACTCTACCTAAGCCATTTTGTGGAGGCAGCAAGCCGCGTAAATTACGTGTCAAATCTCGACCAGATTCACGCGTTGGGTGGATTTATTTCTTTAGCACCTGAAGGCGCTAAAAGTATCAAGGGTGGAAATTATTTGTTGTTCGAGAATTGGATCAAGCATTCGGGCGCGACACTGAAGCTGGAGACGACGGTCACAAAAGTGACGAAATTGGATTCAAATCATGAAAAAGATGGTGATGACACTCCAAAGTATGAAATCACGACTCAAAATGGGAAAAAGCAGATTTTTGATGCGGTCATTTTAGCTGCCCCTATTGTAAATTCAATTTTTTGGTTATCGTATAAGTTAATCTTGACGCATATTCATAATTCATTTCTTTTGATCTATTTACAGCAATTTGCACAGATCGACTTTGAAAATATAAACATTAACGTGAAAGAAATTCCTTATGTCACATTGCACGTAACATTAATAACTGGACACTTGAATCCTGCCTACTTCAACCGCGAAAATATCGATGACCTTCCATCAATGATACTCACTGTGAATAGCGAACTCTGTGATTTTAATAGTTTAGGCTGCCAGTACAAACTAGAAAATGGTGAACGTGTATGCAAGATCTTTTCACATCACGAAATGACCGACGAATTGCTCGACAAAATCTTCTTGAGCCGTTCCTGGACATATTATAAAATATGGAAATCTTATCCGTGGCTTTCCCCAAATCAGACATATCCGCCAATCGAGTTGGATCAGAATTTGTTTTATGTGAATAGCTTTGAACCATTTATCTCGGTATGTACTGGTAAAAATTGATATAGGTGGAGAATTAAGTTTTGGGTTTATTAATTTCATTCCTTTACCTTAGACCATGGAAACAGAAGCTGTTTCAAGCGAAAATATAGCTAAAATATTGAAACGTCGATGGGTTGGACCTGCTATTAAATCCAAATTATAATATTGGTTTTAAGTCGTTAAATAACACATCAGTTTGTATCTTTCAAAAAAAAAATCAATGTTTTGTCTATCAATGATCGTACCATATAATATAGAAAAATAATATGCATACAGTGAAAAACAACTTGATACATATTTTTTAACAGTTAAAGGACTAAAATATCAGTTCCAATTTTTTTTAAAAAAAAATCAATTTACAATTTTTACAATTGCATACAATTTAAGTTGATGACAAGTTTTTTTTTTAAATAGTTGATGAGGTGGATTTCGGCGAAGTGAAAAACACATAGGAACTTATCATGATCGCGCACGCGGGTGCCACTTTTCCGACACGTGGTACTACGCCTAGAGTAATATAAATCAAATTAGTAATTAACTTTTAGTAATCAATTTTTGATAATTAATGATTTACCTCGCATCAACCCCGAAAATCCTTCCTCTTTTGCCACACTCTGCATTATTCGTAACATGGAGTTATTTTTTGCTATTTACAACACCAAGATTTAATTTATTAGTTACGTAACGTGACCAGAATAAAAAACTTCAATTCTTACCATTCGTATGCAAAGCAACTTGTCTTCTTGTTTTTGCAACATCAAACGGTGTTGTTAGTGTCGCTGCGATCTACAATTTTTCGAAAAAAAAGAAGACATAATTCAAGAAAAAGTGGTAAGCAAGTATAGCAATTAAAAAACAAAATCACGTACCATTCCAGAAATCGCGCCACTAATAAAAGCAACTTTAAATTCCTGTGATTCTCCTCGTCCATCATCAGACATATAATATCTTTTATGTATATTTCGTCTAATCGATTCATAACCAGTCCAATAAATAGCTAATCAAACAAATTTTCAATTAATCTTGCAACCATAAGCAAAACATTCAAAACAATAATTGTAATTTACCTGAAAATGGTACATCCCTCCATAATGTAGGACCCAATCCACGCCACAAAGATTTTATACCATACGACCGAACCATCGATTTGACGCCGTTCATTACTACCCGTATACCATTTGTTCCCTCAGGTCCCTGTAGACGTGTTCGAAATAGTTCTATCGGGGATATGACAGTGACCGCCACGGCTATATTTTTATAGGAATTTAGGTTATTTAAAACAACGAATATAATGTCTCGTACTTTCATATTTCTTTTGGAATAAGACTACTTACTTCTCGCACACGCACCAGCAATTAATGGTGCATAAGTATCAGCCTTCTTCCCTTTCCACCGGTTCCATATTGTATCACGTAGATACTCATATCCTACAAAGTATATGACTGTTGATGGTACCGACATGACGCTACAAAATATAAGTAGTATAATTTTAATAATCTCAAGGATAATTACAGAAAATTAATGTATATATTTACAGTGCGGGAGATAAGCCTCGCCATAGGGAAGATATTCCTTCATAGCGCACAATTTTTATAACACCATCCTATAATCAACATAATGATGTTATCGTTGGTATTTTTAAAATGAAAAATTTCATTAGATAATCAATTAGTTCCCACTAGTAAAAAATCTCACCAAAAGCCCATTCAATTGTCTACTTGTAGTCCCGTGTGCAGCCTCTAAAGCGGGAGTATCCATATACGCGCACGACAAAGACGACGATGCGGCTGCCTGATTTGGGATTCGACAAATGAGATCTCGTTGTAAATTTTGTGGGGTAAAGAAGACATTGTGACAACATTTTGTGAACGAAGAAGAGAACGCAGGTGAAGATGCAGATGCTGTTGCTCCAGAAATAGAAGTTGAAAATAGTCTCCTAGCCTGATTTTGAGATTGCAGTCGAGTTTTTATTACATCCAATGGTGTGGCTGTGCGGCATTGTTGTTATTAGTCATGATTAATCATTTATTTCATTAAATTCCCATTAGTTTAAAAATTAAAGACGACAAACTTACTAAATACTGATGTTAGAATTGCACCAGAACATGCTGCATACATTTTATGAAAAGGAATTTTATTAATATCATCGCGAAATGAATGATATTTCCCATTAACTTGGTCAGTGTTCATTAGAATTTCTGCGTATTCCAATTCTTTTTTTTTGGTTCCGTCTGTTTCCATGAGAATTTGGTGGAAATTTTTTGCCTGCAAATTTATTAATCAAGGTTATTTACCACACGTTGTAAACTTTTGCAAGCGGTATTCATATAAATAATTCTTGCCTTTTGATTTTACGAAATCCAAACCTTATAAAGAATGTATACACTTGTAAATATAGAGAAGGAAACTCAAACACCCGAAAACACAAAATTGAGAGGGATCTTTTTTTAAAAATTCGATCACATTTTTGATATATAATATACAGATTTTATTGCACATGCGTATTAGATATATATATCGATATACATGCACTGCGTGTCGGTAAGGAAAAACATGATTTTTATCTGATTTTGCTGCATTACGGGTACTCCCATGTCAAAACAGACAGTCATACATAATATAAGATTCGTAATTATTACGTTACTACTTTAAAATTTTATTTTGACATTTGCTAACTAACAGGTATTATTTATTATCGCTAGTTTAAAAGAAAGATAAGAAGAAACTATAGTAAAATACTATAAAAAAGTATCATAAATAAACTTCAGTATTAACTAAATTTCCCATCATTAATTTCCTTAATCACGGCGATTTCCTTTAATCTTGAAACTTTCCAACGACATATAAGTCAGCAACGCGATGACAGAATCAGCGAATGCCATGTAAAACACTTCGCATGGCGCGTTGTTTAGATATCGTAGTAAACCGATACCACCAAAGATTACCATGCGGTTCATCACTTATTTAGTATTATTTCGTGAATTGGGCAATTTTATTAGAATTAATACAGGAAAAATCATGAATGGCATCTTTCCTTGACCACCATGAATGGAAATGATACCTGAACTGGAAATAAATTTTTCATTGCTGGCGTTGCCAGCGGTGATATGATAATGGCCCAAAGAGATCTTTTTTAAAAAAAAAAAAATAATAAAATATTTTAAAAATATGTCCAAAATGGCAAGGTTGCAATGGAGAGTGATAGATACCAAGTAGACACCGATAATTTTGTAAAGGGTTTCCAATTGAGGTTTTTCCCTGCCCGGAATAGGAATTTTCTATTGATGGGAAATAAAAAATGATATTTGAATCCAGTATGAACATTAACTTAAAACAATAATGCAACTAAAAAGAATAACTTACCAAACCTTCAATGATATTACTTGGCGTAACCAAGAACGTAACACCCTCCAAAATGTTGACACCGCCTTGGAGTAAAGACAAGTTGGAAGGTCTAACCCAGTTTGAGATCCTTTCAAAGAAACTCATTTTTCAATGGAAAAGAATTGCAGAATATAGTATCTTAATTAGATTGAATCAAAGAGGCACGATAACGATAATAACAAAAGAGGGCCTGTATTTATATACAATTACATATTTAAAAATCATCATCGTTAAATCATTTGCTCCGCCATATGTCCCGTGTAATTAATTGATTCACTCTCACATAAACTATGATATATTATTATTGACTGAAAGAAAGTCAGAAATTTGACGGTGGGAATTTGCGGATATATGATATATTGAATTCACATCATATGATTCATTACAACTCAGCCTCCTTATAACTTTTTATAACGGAATTTCTCTAAAGCGACCAAAATTTTCTAGAATGGTTCATAGGAAAATAATGACATTCTCTTTATAAGGACAAAATTAGCCTGGATGTTTGATGTCGTAATAAAGATTCACTTGTAATTATTCGAACCGAATAATTACCGACTGATAATCGGAGTGCCTGACGGTTTGCCAAATAATATTGAATCATTATGATAATGGAGAATAATTATTAACCAGTGTAGTTGAAATTGAAATTAAAAAAAATCGAAATGCAACTATTACAGAATTCTTTATTTCAGTTAATTTCTGATATAAATAAAAAGGATGAATTAAGCAAAAATCTCTTCAAAATACAATAAAATTTAATCTTTTTTATCTTCGGCAGCCGAAATATGCTTCGCTAAATACTATTTCTCCCAGAATAAATCATGTGATTGAGATTTCCCATCCATAATATTTCTCCCGATACAAAAATTCCAGATAATCAGAAGGTTTGAGTCATGAGTTATCCGTTTATACCAAAGCTGATGATATCGAAAAAACATAGCTCATTTGATATTCATATTCCCGAATTCTCTTTAAAAGCAATTCTAACGGAATCTAGTGAAATTACAGCATGGATTCTATCTATTCCTATTCCCATAAATAATATCAGGAAGAAGCGATTTGATTTCGCCGTATACCAATGTTCTCATCAATACTATTCATAAACTTGGCATTCCTGATTCGATCCTCATATGCTTTATAGTAAAAATACCAGTATAAACTCTCCTTTTGTCTAACCTTCATTGCCACCCTAAATAGGCCAACTATATTTGAGCAGTTACTTATAGCGCAATGCTTAACGGATAACTGATATTCAGATTCAAGACATTATAAAATCGTTTCACCAAAAAGGCAGATGATATGATCGGCGTTACAAATTATAACGCGCGTACGTGACTGAATCCTTATCCTTATCCAGTGTCTCGACTATTAACACATGTCTAATTCAGATCCAGAGAATTCGCCCAAAGCTAAGGTAAGTGTCTTGATCACAACTATCAAACCCCAAATCGAAGAGAGTGCTGACGAAAGTGAAGAGAATGAATTCGAAGAGAAAGAGAAGGAATCTGATAATGGATATTATGGGGGATATATACCCCGGATGAAGTGATATTTAGATGTATTGGACTGTCAAAACCATGATTGATGGATGTATCATTGGAGAAGTAGAGAGTGCATTAACAAAATTCAAATATATAGACAGTGCATCAATAGATGCTAACTAATGAATCAAAACAAGTTTGGATGCTGTAATTAAGAATTATATTATAAATAAAGACTATAAAATAGAAATAATAATAGCTTAAGTTCAATTAGAATATAATTAAGCAAATAATCTTTGTAATAATTCTAATTAAAGAACAAAATAAAATAAAGTTTATTATTTTTAAATATATATTACACATGTTTTTTTATTAAATTTTATTACTAATCTATTTCAAAAACTATTATTAATTGAGTAGTTTATAAAAAAACTACAAAAGCATTATTAGAATTATATTATTATGATTAAAAAATTATATTATTATGATTAAAAATTATCTTTTTAGAAACTAATAATATTATTGAAAAGATCAATTAAATAACTTGATAAAAGTTTGAATTAATAATTGATATAATATAAATTAATTAGCAAAAATACAGAAAATTAACTTAAATAATTCCTATGATCATATGAACTGAGTGTAATATAAATAATTTAAATTATATTGAAATTTTTAATAGAATTTATACTGTTTTTGTTATATTTAGTTTATATAATCTCACAGTTTACTTGATAGATTTCTTATATTTAATTCAAGCAACTATCATCATTATTTAGAAAATTGCTAAAAAAAATTAATACTTATTTTTAATAATATTAATCTTTTTATAAAATCAAATACTTAATAAAGAATCAATTATATTAAATAAATATTAAAAAATATAATTTTATATAAATCTTTAAATCTGTACAAAACTTTAAATCTAATATCTGAACGATAATTGATTTTAGAGAAAATTTTGCACATATATCTGCATGAATATATGAATATTCTGCACAGAATATAACAGTTTTGGCAAAGAAATTCACTTGTTTTCTTTTGCAATGTTTTTCTGAATTTATACATTTTATTTCGTTATAAATTATTAATATCTCTTCTGTTACAGATAAATCCATTTCAAAGAAAGAAATATCATTTGATTAGCTACAATGAAAATGTCAAAAGCATGATTGTTATTACGTAATATCTGAAAGCATTGTAAATTTAAAATAATAAATGTCTTTTTTAAAATATAATATCCACATTTACGGCATATCCACTTACGAAATAACGATAATTCGTATTGAATTCTACATGCAGAGTCATGATCCCCTACTATAAAAAGATGTATGTACTACTATTTCCTACCAAAAAAATTCTTTTCTTCTGGACCTGCACTTATTGTGCTATTTTCATTCAAGCAAAACAAAATAAATATTCATGTCTAGTAATCCATCGGTCAAAGAGGTTCAGAAATAGAAGCGAGCTGATGTTATTAAATTCTTACAGGGTAAAAAAGAAGAATTAGACCTTGACGACGAAGATATTAAAGTTATTCAAGATCAAGAGGTCACCTCCTAATTCTCTGGTGTTTTAGAGATGGCTAAATTGTTAGACAATAAAGATCCTTGGACAAGTGCGTAGTATCATTCAAATGTTCAGTACATTTAGAGTGGAAAAAGATGCGAATGTCCAAATACAAACAGAAGTATTGGCTGAAAATTATTGGGAAAGTTTATATTAAGAATTATGACAAAATGGAGTAATGTTATCCGGAATCGAAAAAGCAAATGCAACTTTATGAATATGACAGTGTACAACCACGATCTATAATGAACAAAATGTTAGTGTTTCTGAAATCAGAAGCTCTAGGGTTCTGGATAGAACTTACATATTTTTGATTCTGTTGCTTAGCTTGTTGAACTTTGGAATAATATCAAATAAAAGAATATGAAAAAACTTCCATTTGAATTTGTTGATTCACATGGTGCCTGATATTAAAAAAAGTCCTGATATATTCTATCAAATGAAATCTTTCATCGTGTTATCACACGCACAACACAATCCAATAAGAATGCGCAAATTTTTTATTGCGCATTCTTATTGGCATGTGATCAAGAACCGGACACAGATTAAATATTCGCGTTTACCACACGTATTTTTTCTATAAAAAGGAGTATCGTTTCAATCAATACACCCAAGATATTTACCCAAGCTACAAAAACGATGAAACTAAAGACTTTTTTTGTATTCATCTTATTGATTACGATCTCATCGATCGACGCCATTCCCAGCCAACTCGTTAAAAGAACCTCTGGTTACTCACAATGCTTCCCTCAAGCGAATACCCTCGACGTAAAAACTGTTCCAGCTGACCTGGTTCCTAACACGAAGACTAGCTTCACTATCTCTGGACAATTTGAGGGTCAATTTACCGGTGCAACCAGAGTAGAAATTGATGTATTAAACAAAGACCAGGACTGGCTCTACGGATTTAGTGGCCAAGGCTGCCCATTTTCGTCGTGTCCATATGATGCAAACAACGGTTTTACTATAACAGTGACAGCTGATCTGAAGGATCTTCCTAAAGGATATAAAATCGTGGTTGCTATCTTTTTAGATTATGACAACAATCGCGAGCGTCCTGATGCCTGTGCAATAGCTTCCGACAATAGTTAGGGAGTGCGTTATGTGCAGTTACTAAAATTTTCTTCCGATAGATGTTTTCATACATAATTTTTGATAGAGTACGCAGTTTGATGCAGCTTCAAATGTTTTCTTTCGAAAGATGCTTTACGTTTCCGGTAATTGATATTGTTTTTTGCAGTGTTTCTTAATGTTTTGGTCTCATTTACAGGCGCTTTTTCTGTTGGGATTGAAGTGCTTAAAGTTAATGAGACAATTAAATTTTTTATTTTTTTTTATTTTGTGATTTCTTTATACAAAAATAAATAATATTTGCGCAATTCCTTTTTTGGAATTGACCAAAATTATTAAAATTTTACGATACTATCGTTATTAACGAGTAAAACCATACAATAACTTGCGTAGCACATTATTTTTTGGTATTACTGGAATGTAATGGCGGACAGTTTTTTTCAAATTAAATCAATCTAGAATAATAATCATATATAAAAAGTTGTTTTTAGAATGCTTATAAACAGGGCTTTATAACCTTAAAATATTTGCATTCAGCATGCCTTCTTTCCGTATCGATGCTAACTTGAATGCAATTTGCACAAGAGTATTATCCCTAAGAACCATCTTCTCAAAATATAACTTTTTTCCTCTTTTATTAATACAATGAAAAATCTTTTGCAATATGTTTTAACTTTTGTTATATTATTATCTTAGCTCTCCTTTTCATGTCTCTACTTGAAAAATAATCATATATTATCTATAAAATTGAGATACAGACTTTACTAAAACCATAATAAAATGCATATGCTATACTGAATCATGAAAATTTTTAAAAAGGAGACTTTATATGAATAGTAAAAGGTAATAATTGAATTTGAGAATTTTTGTAAAGATAAATATTATATTATTTATAAGAATGAATATAAATATCTTTCAGATCTCAGAATCAAATTTTTTAATAATAAAAAAGGATAATTATTGCATATTGATAAAAAGTAAATAGGAAAAATATAATATATATTAGCATAAATTAACAAATAATTTATTATATTTCATGTTTCTCAATGCTTGTTTATAATGTTACATATTGATATTTTTATAATTATAGTTTAATTTATAAAGTAAGTATTTGTAAAAATATCAATAAATATTTTACATAATAATGAAATTATAAATTAAAATCATATCTAATAAAGAAATAAAAGAATATTTTATATTTGTAAAGTATTATAATATAATTTTTATTTTAATTAGAACTAAATATTAACTTATAATAATATAATTTCGAAATTATAATAATAATTATAAATTAAATATAATATTATTAAAATAATAATTGTTAAATATGAAATATTAATATTAAAATTTATTAAATATTTAATCCTGAATTATACTTATATTTTATGTAAAATTCGTTATATTATTATAAAATTCAATTGATTTTTTAAGTATTTTTGAAAAATCTTAATTTACTGAATTTAATATTTATTTTATAATATTAATTAAAGTTTTTATTATATCTATATATTATTATTTATTAATATTTTTATATATATACTTTTTGTAAATATTAATATTTTGTAATTTTTCATAATAATATCTTTTAAAATATTTATATCTTGAAAAATTTATATTATAATTTTTCTTTCAGAATAATTTAATTTTAAAGTTTTATTTTAATATTTTATTTAATATCTTTTATAAAATTAATATTTTATTAAAAAATAAATATTTGAATTTATTTTATAAATAAAAAAGATGAAGAAAATAAGATTAGAATTATTTAATAAATAATTAATAAAATAAATAAATTTTTTATCAAAAATAAATTAATTTTAAATCTTAATTTATATAATAAATATTAATTTTTTAATTTATATAATATTTTAAATTTTTTTATATTATAACTATTTTTGATTATTAAAATAATAAATATTATAAGTTTTAAATTAATTAGTTCCAAATTCAAATTAATAATAATATTATATTTATTAATATTATAATAAAAATAATTAATATAAAATTAAAATAATATTATTTTTTATTATTTAATTTATTTAATATTTTTAATATTTTTAAATTTATTAATAATATTATAAATTATATTTCAAAATATTTTTTTAATATATTTATTAGTTTTTATTTATATATAAATTAAAATTAGAAAAATATTAATATATTATATAATAAAATATATTAGAATTTTAATAAGATTAAGAATTGATAATAATATAATATAATTAAAATTATATTAAAATTTTTAAATTTAATTATTTAGTTTTATATTATCTTTTTTATAAAATTTAAAATATTTTATTAAATTAATATTTTATAACTTTACTATTATTAAAAAAAATATCTGAAATATAAGTATAAAAATATATTAATAAAAAAAGTTATAATAATATATAATATTATAAATATTAAAATTTAAAAAATATAATAAATATTTAATATATTAATTAAATATATAGTAATAATTAAAAGTAATAATTCAAGAGTTAAATTTATTAATAAAATATAATAAAAATTAAAACTTTCTATTTATATTAAAATTTATAATTTTATTAAGAAATAATTTTTATTTTTATATTAAAATAAAGTTTATTAGTTATAATTT